CTTTATATTATTAAATAATTGATAATATATAATAAAGGATATCAATAATTGATGAAATATAATCAACAAAAATAGTGATCAGACAGGCAATAACTCTAAGATTTAAAATTATTATGACGCAAACAGATAGAAAAAAAATTTTACTATAAAGTGAAAGTTATTATAACTGCATTAAAAACTTGTTAATCTTCACTACAAACTCGCGTTTACTACATTAATATGTATTTAGGCCAAAGAACACACAAATCTAGTAATATATAATTAAAATAAAGTACAATAAATATACAATTACTAGCTAACACACACACACACACACACACACACACACACACACACACACACATTAACAAATAATTAAAATTATATACTAACCTATTTTCGTTATTTTCGTTAAATTTTGTGTATTGTTAACCAATTATCACTTCAATTTCATCCGGCCGGAATTAATCACCTCTACGGTATACTGCGAAATCATACATAAAATCAGTATTATATTACGGCAAGAATTATTCATTCCATAAAAAATACTTTATCTTCGCCTCAGTTTAATAACTGTTCTCTAAAATTAGAATAATAAAATTGCCTAAATTACAGCACAAATGACACAATGCATTTTCTACATACCTTAATTTTCTGTATCAAAATGATCCTTTCACAAAATGAGAGCACTTAAGCACTGATGAGCACTTCCACGTATGTCTTGTATGTACACTAGTCTCCAATAATTCGTTCCTACACGCCCTCAGCGGGATAAGGAAAAGTAGGAGTATAGCCAATGGCGCAATGGCCGCGTTCAGCAGACTCAACAGTTGTAGATTTTCCGCTGAATCTCGACTGTTAATTTGTTGGTTCTGAAAGTAAGAACCAATCACGTTCGATTGCTACTAAGCGGTTTGTTCTGCTGAATGCGGCCATTGGAGGCTAGCGTATATGCATTGCTACGTTAAGGTCATGACATACAAAATTTTAGTCGTAACCGTAAAGCCATAAGCAAATCGATCTTATTGTAGAATGGTCCTTACGGGCGTGATAGACGCAAAGCGCCCAGTTTTGGCGGGCAATACACACAATATCATATTATTGCGATTGAATTCTGTCTTGTTGTTGGCAAATTGTCGCAAACATTTATTAATTACACGTTGTTCTCACGTTGTTGACAACGAGAATTCATTCCAAAACTCCAACAATTCAGGATATGGAACACCCAAATAAAGGAAAACATTATATATTTGATGTTGCTGTCATGTTGCCATTAAAATGCTATTGGCGCAATGGCATATCATTAGTTATTATCAGGTTGCCGTCAGGTTGCTGGTAACCTATTATACAACTATTATTGACCACTTGTTTTTACATTTTTTTAAACTGATTACTTAGATTACTACTCGTGTTGCTCAATTTGATAGCAGACTATTAATAATGACGGCAATCAAACATCAACTATTCAGCAACACAAGCAGTGCATTAGTTTGCTCGATATGATTAATCACGCTTGGTTATCTGGGTATGAGAAAACAATTGTTTATGGTTAGTTTAAAACTAATTTGTGTGTGGTTACAATAAAATTTTGAACATTTTGTATGATATTAATATTTTGTCTTGCAGATGCACTATTAAAGGTGAATGGTTTGGCAATCGAATGACATACCTTTCTCATAAGGAAGCTTTACGGACAGATGAATCCATTTATCAACAAACTTATAAAGAATATGAAAAGAATTCTTTCAAAGCTTTACTGTGTTAAAGTTAGTAAATATAAACTGCCTCACAATGTTATACTTAAAATATAGTTTTTTACATTTTTTAAAATCTTTCTTTTCATCTAATTTTGCTAGAAGGTCACGCGGATTGAGTGATTGGAAATATTACAAAGGTACAGAATTTAGAAGGCTCTTGTTATATGATGGTTTTCTAATTTTTAGATTTATGCAGCCTGAAATTTACAAAAATTTTCTGCCTGTGCTGTTCAAATTCTAGTTGATCCTATGTTGGTCAAAGATTATGCTGTTGATGCGGACAAATTACTTAGATTGTTTGTAGAGCATAGTTCTAAAATTTATGGACAAACTTTGTGGTATATAATGTTCATCACTTATTACACATTGTTGCGGATTGCCAGTTACATGGACATTTTGAAGAATTTAGTGCATTCAAATTTGAAAGTTTTTTGGGATACATGAAGAACTATTTGCATGCACCAGGAAAAGCACTTTCTTAAATAGTTTGCCGCGTAATAGAAAAAGCAGCCATGCTTCACTTTTTTTATTCTACAAAGAATGAAATATCGTTTTCAAAACGTCATAATTTGGGACTAACTCTAAATTGTCAAGGAGAGTAGTATAACAAAATTCGAACGCCAGATAAAAATTTCTTTTTAAGGTCTACTGATTCCTATTGTCTTACAAAAGCCAACTCAATAAGCAAGAAATCATTGATATAACGTTATTTTAACGATATTTAGTAATATGTAATATTGTTAAATATGTAGGTTTTAACGTTCTAATCGACGTCATTATAAATAAACTTTGACACTGATTTTAAGGTTTCAATAACGTTGAAATGGGAGTGTCTTAATATTACGAATAATGTTGTGCAAATGTTTTTTATAATTTTAATATAATGTTTTTTATATAACATTAAATAAATGATTAGATTTAAACTTACTTTTAACCTAATTTTGTCATTATATCAACATTGACACAATATTAATATTTTATTATTTATTTCATTTTCTTAGTAAATACAAAGTAACATAACATCAATGTTATAATTTTCCACTCAATAAAGTTCTTCCTGAAATCACTTGCAAAAATCAAAGATATATGAGATTATAAATGCACGTGCTTGCACACACATCACGAAGCTGCCGAGAAGGATTACACATACGCTGCGTTCCGAAATTCACTGCTGTCAGTACTGGAAATTTATAGTTCATATCATGTCACATATCTTATAGATTTTCAGTATTGGCAATACTGCACGTTGCGCGTTTATACGAGTTGACGCTTACATTGAGGATAGAGATAGCTATATATAATAGGGCTTTCTTTCGCAAAGAATTTTGACATTACTTATCTGCAAACTTAATGTTAGTTACATAAATATTAATATCGATTATTTTTACTTTATATCATTCTATAAAATAGTTTTATAATATTTCTTTCTTATAAATTTAATATTAAAATAATATAAAAAAACATTAAAACAACACAAAATTTTTATCATTATAACGTTATTTTAAACATAAGATTTTATCAAATTAAAACTATTGTAACTATGTTGAACTTGCAGCAAATAGAAGTGTTAAAATAACATTGAAAACAAAGTTTTAAATAATGTTTTAAAAATATTTCTCTGATATTTAAGAAAACTATATTATAAAATAATATATTTAAAATATATATACAACATTATATCTAAACATTATAAAAATTTACATAAAATTAATATTTCAAAACGTTGATTTAATGTTTCTTGCTTACTGGAAATGAAGTGCATAAAATCGAAAATATTATAAAATGTAATGATGGAATTTATTTGATTGGCAGAAAGTTTAAAGAGAAATCAGATCTTTTTTCTTATTTATTTTCTTCTAGCTGCATAAACATATATATTAACAATCTTAAATCACTACGAAAGTGTTTAGACAATATTAAGAAAAAAGTTGTACTGTTACCTCTCCCTAAAAAGAATGCGGAAAATAATTGGATCGTTTCAAAAAGTGTCTGTTTTCCAATGCCTCATTCTGAAACATTGTAACAACATTGTAACTTTTAACATTTTCAATTATACGGGGTTTGAATGACTCAAGGTCGATCAACCATTATTATTCTAGTATGAATTAATTTTATTGATGGAGACGACGTTATTAATCAACCCTAAGTCATTGTTCAAATCCCGTATAATCGAAAACGCTATTATACAACATTGTATTTATATTTTATATTTTAAGGGAGGAATTTTCAATTATTCAATCAATTTCTGTCATTGGTATGTGAATAAAATTACTTTAATGCTTTACTCTATAATAATTATCATAATCCTTGTTATCACTATATTTCCTCAGCCCAATAAAACAGTTACGTCACATTCACGTCAAATTCACGTAATTTATATTTCCTTTTTCTATAAAGTAATATATTATCTTGTTTAATATAAATTTATCTCACCTACAGTATATATAATAGAGATCAAAATATTTATAAATTAATTATGCATAAAAATCACATTGTGATAAACATAGTATACCTTGATTGATCAATTATAATTTTCAGTATAAATATCCACGTGAAATCTACATTGCCATTTCGAGAATAAAGTATTTCGATGTAGTAATGAAAAAGGAATGTTGCATCCATATGAATAATTCGTGGATAAATCTACATCCACATAATCCACGTAAATTACGTGGATTCGACATGGATGTGACGTAACTGTTTTTGTCGGGTAGAAGCAATTCAATTTGCGAGGATTTGTAATTTGAAATAATATTTGTTATAAAATCAATCTTACATTTGTAAAAATATTATACACTGTAGATTTATACATGCTTGTGAAAAATTAAAAGGCAAAACGCTGGTCTTAATAATCAAAACGACACGGAACATTTACCGGATGCTTATCTCCCAATTATTAATTTATTTCCCCCTTTATAATTGTATTTCTTTCCTTTTCCGCTACCGATTCCTTTATCCCCCACTATTTTACCATGCCTTCTCTACTATACTCCTTCCCCCCCTCCTCCGTTCCAACCATTTCTCTGATTTTCTCTGTTGAATTCTGGTCATTAACATTTTAACTTTTGACTGATAAGCTTTAACAAAAATTCACTCTTCTATCTCGTACCTTCTGGAAAGATTAGTTTGCTTGCAACGTGTTTTTTACAAGTATGTATAAATTTATATCCTAATTTCCGGTTAATTTACTTCTTTATAATATCAATTATCATTTTATTCTATTACATTTATTACAGTTTTAACAATTCTTTTTAATGAACCGAATAACATTTCTTCGAAATAAATTTGAAATATATCATCCACATCTTTTTATCTTTATAATCACTGCGTGCGATTCTTTCGTCAATATTGTACACTGAGGAAACCTGATATCAGGCAGAAACGGCTGGAAATAATTTTAAATGAGAATACAGTAACCTTCGCACGAAGAACTTACATTGTGGCTCTTTACGCTTCTTTTGAATTTTATTTGATTTTGTTAATCACTGGAGCCTTTCACATTAATTATTTAGAATTTTTATAATTTTTTACTTTTGTTACATCTGGTTCTATTACTTTTCAGCATTTAATAATGACATATATGCTAATTTCAACAATGCGTACTGTTGCTAACAAACTTGCGATTGCTCAATTTGTATTTTAGTATTTTTTCGTCTGAATCTTTAATTATGTAGTTTTTAACAAGGCGTACGTTCAAGTTCAAATTTAATATTTTGTTTACTGATCGACACTGAGGAAAGCCTAATGCGAGGCAGAAACGTCTGTTTATTGTACATTGTTCTATAATAAATTTTGGCATATCGAACCAGCCACGGTTCTTTATGCTTCTTTTTTAATTTAATTAGAAATTCTTATTTGAGCTCATTACTATATATTTTAATAATATATATTGTAAAACTCGTGCGGTTATGTAATTTTTTAAAATTATGTACGATTTAATTTCTTATTAACACAGAAGAAAGCTTGATAATAGGCAGAAACATTTGTTTATATTATTTTGATTTCAATATAGGTTTTGCACGAGCTAGCTTTGACTTCTTTTGCATCTTACATTTATCTTTTTATATTGTGTAGTTATATTATATTTGTATTATATTTGTGTAGTTATTAATTAAAATAATTTTTTTTTTTTAAGAATAACTATAAACAATGAATGACGAGGAATTAATTTTACATGTTCAAAATTACGAATTTCTGTACAAGCGTGAAGATTCCAGACATAGCAATCAGTTTATCCGAGAAAACGCTTGGAAGGAGATTGGAGAAAAAATGAAATATGAAAGTACGTAAGATAATTTATTACTGACAATCGATACTATTAACTTAAAAATTAGAATCAGAAATAACATTAGTCATTTATTTTCAAGTCACATAAGCTACATATCTATAAAATTTCTGTTTACAATTACAATCATACACTTACAATCGTTTCGTCACTCTTTATTATTATTACTAGGGCAACCAAAAATATGCTTTAAAAAATCCGTTTTAAGCATCTAAAATATGCTTCATAAAGTTGAAAAAATGCTTTAAAAACACAAAAATATGATCTTAAAAATTCATCCTTTTTTAAAAAAATTTTTAGATATTGTTCAATAATTTATAATAACAAAGTAGAATAAATTTAATGAAACTTAATAAAAAATAATTTGCATTGTATTTTTGTTGTTATATTTATTAATTAGTCCTATTGCATTTTTAAAAAACAAAAAAACATTAATAAACTTAAAAAAACACATACATATTTAATATTGAGTCAAAAATTTAAGTCTTCTAATTTATATTTTGATTACAATAAATAATAAACATTTTACTTAAGTTTTCAAACAAAAAACTTTGTCTGTTTGATCATAAAACATTTTTATACATTGAGAAACTTTGTTCGACATCAACAGAAGTTATAGGTGCATATTTAAATGCCAATGTTTCTTGAATGCTGTAATTGTCTGTTTTTGTATTATTAGATCTTCCGGGCAAGCGTGCTGAAAGTGCCTTCAAAATAGTAAAACTATTCGTTTCAATAATGCTGGAAATTTTTTTTTTCGATAACATTCGCTGCCTCGCCGTTTACATCATTAATTGCTTCTATAGCATATGTCACAACTTCAATCTGCACAATAAGCGGTAGACTAGATGTTTCGAGCTTTTTTATGGACTCCTCAAGAAATCCATAATTTGATGCAATAAAAATAAAATCAGACTTTATTGTTTTGTCACGTAGTATATTCTTTAAAATTTTGATTGAGGCAGCCTCTTCATCATCCAATGCATCAAAAATTCGTACAATTTTCTCAAAATTGGTTGTGTAATAATTTACGGTGTTAAGCCATGTTCCCCGTAATGTTCGTGTAATTATCGGTTGCGGAGGAAGCACAAGACCAGGTTCTAAATCTTTGAAAATCTGCAGGGAAAATCCTCAAGGAAGCCTTTAAAAATACCCTTTTTAGATATAAAGCGATCAGTTTTGTTTTTTCAAAAAACTTATTGTAGAACATGTGATACATACTTGTAATTAAAAGCCGGATTAATATTCCAATGTAAAATATATAAATATTATGCAGATATATGGGTGAAATATGCAAAAATATGCTGTAACATATAGAGTTTAAAACGCATAATTACTGCTGAAACACGTATATATCTAATTAATTTCTTTATTAGTCAAATAAGAAAAAATATGCCCTAGCATATTTTGGATGTCCTACTGATCAACAATGCCGTGCCTGAAAATAAACCACCAATATCCGCCATATCTTTTAATGTACAATCAGCTTATGTTGTTTTATTTTCACATGTTTTTACAAATAAAGCTTCAGAATCATTTCTCAAGAAGTTATGAAAGCAACATGTGGCTAAGACAATAAAATCAAGGTGTTTAGATGTTATCTGCAATCTTCGTTGATAAATACGAAATTTCTTAGAAAGGATTCCAAAAACATCTTCGGAAACATTTCTCGCTCTGCTTAATCTATAATTGTAAACTTTTTTATCCTCACGACCAGATAGTTGGTCCCCAGGATATGGTCTTATGAGATTCCTGTGCAGAGGAAAAGCTTCGTCTCCAACTATAATATGTGGCATAGCTGATAATGTGCCTGGCAAAGTGCGAAAAAATGCCTCCTTTGCTATTTTTCTCATATGCTCCAATATCGATAAGTGTGAATTTGTAGTTAGCGTCTATCACTGCAAGAAAGACGATGCTGAATTCCTTTTTATAATTAAAATACAATGTTCCACTTTTCGCTGGTTTCTGGAACACCACATGCTTGCCATCAATGGCACTCAAGCAATTCGGGAAATTCCACTTCTGGCGAAATTCTTCCTCTTTTTTTGCCCCCATTTTTCTGTTTGGTTCAGACATAACGATAGGTCTAAGTACCTTCCAAATTGCTTCACAAGTTTCGTACACTATGCGTCGAATAGTCGTCTCTCCCAAACGATAGCTGAAAGCTATAGTTCCAAAAGAGTCATCAGTTGCTAGAAATCTAGAAAAAAAATAAAATAAATAAAAAAAGATTAAAAAATAAACAGAAATCAAAATCTTATTTTTTTTTTTACAATACCTACAATAGTATATGTATATATATTTTCCTTAATTTTTCTAAATATTAGTAAAGAAAACCTTTTAGATTGCTGTTAGCTGTGGCAGTCACAGTTAGTTTAGCATCTTGGAAGGTAAAACTACCATAATTAACAGAAGGTTGACATATCTACAGTTAGGCTGGTGCTACAGACATTGGTACTAAGTGTTATTTTTCTTGTTTAGGTGTGGATTGCAAGAATCGTTGGAAAACTCTCCGCGATTGTTATAGAAAACATTTAAAACACCTAATGACAAAGTCTGGACAGACAGCAAAAAAATATAGACCATGGAAATTTGAAAAACAGATGAAATTTATGAAACAGTGTCTGCAATACGAGCGAGAAGGAAGCAACGTTCAATCACCAACAACTTCTATTAGTGATGCTGAGCAGGATATTAACGATACCTCAGAAGCTTCCTCTATAGAACTTACTGTTAGAAGAGAAGCCTCATCTGGAAGTAGCACCTCTTCAGGTCTAAAACAAAGAAAAAAAACTCCAGCTCAGTTATCAGCAGCTGCATTTGAAGAATGCCAAAGATCAAAAGATAAATCATCCGATCACCTCGCTAAATATTTCATGAGTGTTGAGGAAACAGTAAGAACATTTCCTCCACATCTCCAAATTAAAGTTAAAACTCAAATTTCTAACATTTTGCACAACGCAGAGTATGAATCGCTACATTATTATTCTGACCGTTCTAATTTTCCTCACGCACCAACAACTTTACAACATTCCGAAAAAGATAATTACTTCGCATTTCAAACACTCGATAGCACATACAATCAACAACCATCTTTCCACCCATCACAATAGAACCTACAGGAACTCGGCCAAATTAATAACATGGAAATTAATCAAAATTCATCAAATACATTAAATCAAAATATACACTAAGATTCATACGCGTGAAAGTTTGAATAGTATGACAACGCATATGCGCGTAACTGCAGCGCATACCCATGTCGCTATGATTGCGTTCCGTTTCACGCATAGCACGCATCGTTCGCATCACCAATGCTTAGCGTATTGGTTGCGTTTCGTTTCATTATGCGCACAATGCACGCTTTGAAACGGAATGTTATTAAACGCATTAGAAGCGTGAAATCAAAATAGATTTCACAACAATAAACTGCACTGTCAATGTGACAATATTTTTAATTGATGACGCTAATGTAAGTGACATTAAGAGTAGTGAATCATCAAGTTGCAGTTCTGATAATTATTACAGTGACGAAGAATATGAGGATAGTTCGGACACAGGCTATGAATTGGAAATTTTATATTTAGTTCTAATGGTGAGTGAAACACGTGGAGAAACAGTTTTTAAAGAAAAAATAACAGATTTTGTTGAGAGAATTATCCCTGGATATACGAGGCGCGTATTCAAAGAACATTTTCGATGAGTGCAAATATTTTCATATATATTTTTTATTCAATTTGACTGATGTTTTAAAATATTTATAAAAAGTCTGTACATATACTTATCTTCCATATTCAATTTTTGTTTATTAATTTAAAGTAATGTCAAGAAATTACAGCAGTTTTATATCTTGCAGAATGTTTTCGAAAACATTCGAAGTGGTGTTACAATTAATCGGGCCAGGATTAAAAGCCATCAATGCATTTCTTGGAAGAAAACCAATCTCTGCTAAAAAACAACTCTTTATTGTAATTTGGTTTATGTCTACTCCTGACTCTTATAGGTATGTATCTCATACATTAAAATATTAAAATAAATTTAAAGAAAGAAAACAAACAAATTATTAATTATTTCATAGTAACATTTTATTTATATTATATTATTGTCTTCAGATCTGTATCGACAAAATTCGGAGTTGGAAAAGCAACTGCATTCAGAGCATTAAGACGAGTAACGTATGCTCTACATTGCATTGCTCCTCAGTTTATTCAGTGGCCCAAAAATGCAGTTGCCACAAAAGTAATGGAGGAATTTGAACAAGCTTGTGGTTTTCCAAAAGTGATAGGTGCTAATGATGGAACTCATATTAAGATTCGTACTCTGAAAGAAGTACCAGACTCGTACGTAAACAGAAAAGGCTTTCACTCGATGAATATACAAGTTGTCTGTGATTCGCGTGGACTTTTCACCCATTGTTACGCCGGGCATGTGAGATCTGTGCACGATGCAAGAGTGGCAGATTTTCTTCAATTACCTAAAACCTATTTTCCTGATAATTCTCATATTATTGAAGATGCTGCGTACGGTATCCATCCACATGTTATGGTACCTTTTAAAAATAATGGTCATCTGACAAATGCGCAAAAAAATTTTAACTATTGTCTGTCATCTACGCGAATAGCATTTGAACGGGCAATAAGTCATCTGAAAGTTTGTTTTAGGATTCTCTTAGACTGTTTACCTTTAACAGACGTCAGAAAAATTCCAGAATTTATTTTGGCCTGTTATATATTGCACAACATTTGTATTTTGCAAAATGATATAATTGAATTGATGGGTATATGTACAAATGAAGAAGAAGTAAGACCTATTTTACATGATAACGCGGTTGAATTAGGAAATGCTAAAAGAATTGTAATTATGAATACTTTACCAAGGAAAATATAATATTAAAGTGTATGTAATACTCAATGACATTATGTATATAAAAATAAAAATGTGTATATTAGGTAATAAACAATTTAAACGTTAGTTTTGCTCATTTAATTTTAACGTTCTAATCGACATCATTATGAACAAACTTTGACACTGATTTTAAGGTTTACTTACGGATTTTACTTATTTCAATAACGTTGAAATGGGAGTGTCTTAATATTACGAATAATGTTGTGCAAATGTTTTTTATAATTTTAATATAATGTTTTTCATATAACATTAAATAAATGATTAGATTTAAACTTACTTTTAACCTTATTTTATCATTATATCAACATTGACACAATATTAATATTTTATTATTTATTTCATATTCTTAGTAAATACAAAGTAACATAACATCAATGTTATAATTTTTCCACTCAATAAAGTACAGCAGGCCTCGGAATTATTTCATTTTTTCAGCCGATTCTCGTGGTATACGCCTCCTTTCTTCTCTTTACCGCGCGCATGGCAGCCGCTAGGGCCAGCGCCGCCGAACGTTAGGAGCGGCGCTATTCGATAAATGTTGGGGTTCTTCTCCCTTGATCATTAAAGTTAAAAAAATATATATATATATATTATTATTATTATTATATATATATATATATATATATATATATATATATATATATATATATATATATATATATATATATATATATATATAATATAAAAAAAAATTTTTTTTAACATTAATCGGATAGCGCCGCTCCTAACGCTCAGCGGCACTGGTCCTAGCGGCTGCCGCGCGCGCGGTGAAGAAAGAAAAGGCGTATACCACGAGAATCGGCTGAAAAGATGAAATAATTTTGAGGCCTGAAGTACAGCAAAGTATGTTATATTGCAGTTAATTGTTAAACAATTCAACAATGTAACTGCAAAGTTATATATACCTTGCTGTACATTATTGAGTGAGAAATTATAATACTGATGTTATGTTACTGTGTGTTTATCAAAAATATTATTATAAATAAATAATAAAATATTAATATAGCGCCAATGTTGATATAATAATTGATAAAATAATTATTTAATTTTTATTATAATCAATAAATTATTTATAAATTATTTTAAAAAGTTACTAAAATGTTTCAATATATATTTTTTATATGTAAGGATGCAGAAAAAATCATGGTACATTACCCGATAAAAATTATTTTATGGTCATCTCGCTAGGAAAACAAAACAAATTATTGCCAGGCAGTATATATACATATACAGAAAGAAAGTTTTTTCTATAAAAATAGATTATTATAAATTAAAATAAAATAAAAATGTAAAAGAATGTAAAAGAATAATTAATTAAGAAGTTGAAATATTTTTTTTTTATTTCTAATATTATTTCACCCGGGGGTTGAGCTACCCACCGGGCGCGTCTCCAAGGTGGCGGATAGGAGAACGCCCAGTAGGTGTGAGTCCCCTGAGGGGACTTAGTGCTGCTGGGTAGTGGCAGTTATAACCTGGCCCCACGGAAGTAAGACCCCGTGGAGGGTAAGGAAAGACCGTTGCCGCGGACCAGCTCCCCAAGCCAAGTTGTAAGCCATCGTGGCGATAGCTGCATGTCACTGGGGGAACAGTGTCGCGAACAATGCCTCTGGGGAACCGGGCGAAACCCCAGAGTATCCAGCCTTACCCACGCATGCGGGGCTCTGCGTGGGCGGACCGTGTAATTCCCTAGCTACTCGTGGGACCACAATGGAAGTTGATAATTTAAACTCAGAGGACAAAGTGGGAGATCGGGAGGACTCGCGTGACGGGTTTCCGAGGGAAGGGGCTGGGACGGCGGTGACGGACGGGACCCTTAAGGGCTCCGGAAGTGAAGCCGGCCCGACTGCGCGGCAGGAGGCTTCATCTTCTTTTAAAAAGAACCGGTGCGGGACCGAAAGAAGGAGGGCGAAGCGGATGAGAGCAGGAGCTCCGGAAGGGGCTCGCTCTCTCCCCGTGGCTCCCCCTTGTACGCCGGTGGTAAAGGGGCACACCGACGGTAAACGTCGGAAGGGCTTCAATAAAACTCCTCCATCGGGTGGCCGTCCGTTGAAAAGGCAAAGGGCTCATGATGGGCACCATGCCTTTGCGGATGCTGCCGACCTTCTGGCGAGGGTGATTGTGGCGGAGGGCTACCCCGAGGCAGAGATCACTGCAGAGCAGTTGACTCTGTTGAGGGGTGCGGTCTCGAAAGAGATCGACGGGATCCAAGACGGTCCGGTCCTGACGGACCGCCGAGGGGCGGTCTTGAAGCGGCTGGAGAGGCAGAACCCGGGTCTTCTCACCGGGAGCTGGAAGGTGTTCGCGGAGGGAGTAGAGGCCACCAAGGAAGGTGGGAATCTAGTCCTTGGTGTCCCGGAGTCTAGTGTCCTCAAATTGAGGACGCTGGACTTCAAACCATTCTTTGGGCTCGATAGGATTGCCTTTCGGGTAAGTGGGGCTAAAGGGGGGGTAAGCGGGGATAAGGAGGAACCCCCTAAAACGGTCTCGTAGTAAAATGGCGGGATCGGGAGGGGTGGCCTTCACCCAGATTAATCTGCATTACAACAAAGGCTCGGCTGTTTTGGCCAGGCAACAAGCTGGGAAGCAAACATGCATATCACTGATGCAAGAACCCTGGGTAATCCGGGGTTGCATCAGGGGCTTGGCGGCCTGCGGCAAGCTCTTTAGGGCTCCATCAGTGGATCGGCCCAGGGCCTGTGTGGCCG